CCCCAAAACCCCAAAACCCCAAAACCCCAAAACCCCAAGATCTTTGAACTCAGTTGAAACAACCCATTAAGAAACAAATTTCAACATTTTAATACAAACATGAGATTTGTGTGTGTAAGTGCATGTAAGAGGAGTAATTAGACTCTAGGAAACTACTGATCTCGGGTTATACCAGATCTTGGAGCAATAAAGCAGAGCTTAAAGATCTTCAAGAGGAAGACCTATTTCAAATCTTGCAATTTCTTCATTGCTTAAATGGTAGTTTGGAGGCAATTCAAAAGGTATGTGGACACTTTCCTGAACTTTCTTCATCAATCTCTCCGTTCTAATATCCTGGATGTATCTATAGGAAGAACCATTAGTTTATTTATTCCATGAATTGATAGAATCTAAAGGTAAAATCTCAATTTTAAAGGGCTCCTTTTAGCAAATTTCTGAATCAAATTCCCTCAATTCAAACTTTTTCATCCAATAGATATTTTTAAATCTATTGCTTCTGAGAAACTTTAAGAGAAAAGGATGAGTAAATTCAAATAAAATTTTGCTCCTAATCTTTTACTTATCTGTAATAATTAGAAGTACGAGGAGCAGTTTTGAAATGAATGATTTAGAAATTTCAAAAGCATCAAAATTATTAGAGCTCAAAGTGATTTTATCAAGAACTCTGAGATATGCAATGTTTCTTCCTGAAAGAGACTATATTCTACTCCCTACAGAAGTATTTTTAGGACAGTTCCTAGAGCCTAAAGCTCTTAGAGTTAAATAGTTATGGACTCTTCTAAATTCAAAGAGCAGAGAAAATACTGAGATATTTCCTAAAAGTCTTGACAAACCTTGCGCCACTATTCCCATATGGTGAAGCTGGGAAGAGAATCAACTGGGGCAAATCTTGAGTGTACCCAATCTCTTCAGGTATTGAGTGTTCATAGATGTCATAGGCAAATATCTTCAAGGAATCGATTGAAAGTGCTTTGAATCTTTTTGCTGCTTTTTCATAAAATTTTCAAGCCATTGTGTTCTCCTGTTCATCTTCATAGGCATCATAGAGAAGGAGTAGAGTGTCATATTCTTTCGAAAAGCATTCGGTACTGAAATTTTCCCTATTCAGGTGAATCACATTTGGCATTAATTCTAAATACTGATTTTCAAAGTACAGAGTGGTGCCGGTGGAATCTAATTCCCCATTGACGAAATCATCAATAAACTGTTTAATGTTCTTAGTTGTAAAAGGTCTTCTTCTGGGAAACACAATAGTATCAACACTTTGCATATGATTAAGTGCCATTGCAGGCTCCTCTTTCCAGGTGATTCCCAAGTACCTCTTTTTAGAGTAATTCTCAGTGTCCTCTGTAAACATAAATATAAACTGCGGGTAATTTGGAGCAATATATGTTAGTCTCTCATAAAGCTCTAGGGATTGTTCTTTGTATCTTTCATGCTCTCTATTGATGAAGACTAAAAACATTGGTTTTTGAATGGTATTCACAATTTTGTATGACTCTGGAGAGAGCTCTTCCAATGGCTCTAAGCTTTCTTGGTTTATCCATGTGACAATAGGAGTTGTTTGAGTATTCAAATCATAAACTGAAGCTACCGGATATTCCTTATCTCTCATCTTTTTGACTAAAACAATTGAATTTCTTTCCATATTTAGTTCTAGATCATTAGAAAGGAAATGGTAAGCAGATTTTAGCTGTTTTGTGGTGATTCTGGCTACTCTGAGGTCCTCTCTGAATCCAAGTTGTAATGCCGTTCTCGAAAACTCATCAGTCTCATACTTGTCCATTTCCATTCCGATGACCCTTGTGACTTTATTGAGGCTGCTAAAGTAGGGCCCGATACTTCTGTATTCATCTTGATAAAATGGGGTGTTTTCCTCCCATTCCATTGATATGTTTAAGAAATTATTGAGCTCTCTTGGAGTTCTGAGAAGCACAACTGGATAGAGATGTCTATTGATAAAATGGAGCAACAAATTGACATCAAAATCTCCATCGTACTCAAAATATTTTCCTTTTTGGAATAGAAATATCTTAGGGACATTTCTAAAGGACATCCCTTCTGAATAGCTGAAGTTCCTCGATTTGTTAATGTCAACACGAACAATTGGAATCGGGTTGTTTTTGTATGAAATTTTAGATGCTTTAAATAATTGGTTCAGCTGTCCGAGGAGGATTTCGCCCTTACAACAGTTTTCACAAATGCTATCAGAAATTCCTAGAACGAATATCTTATGATTACTCTTGTATGTTTTTAAATCAAATCCTTCCTCTTCTAAGAAGTGATCTCCGATTGATAAATTAGGAAAATCAGGGTGGCAATCATTGATAATGTCCTCATTGTCTTCAATATATGCTATCTCTGGAGTTTTAGGAATTTCTACAATTTCTGTGATGTCTTGTGGGTCAATGAAGAAATCATCCAGACATTTGGTTACAAGGGATAGAGTTACGATTAAAAAGAGTATGTGCAATTTCTTCGTCACCATTATTCAAACTAACTTCAATATTAATATCTATTTTTGGGGTTTTGGGGTTTTGGGGTTTTGGGGTTTTGGGGTTTTGGGG